AAAGTTGGAATCGGCTGGGGGGATAGCAACCGTCTCCGACCACGCCCACCCTAGTGGGACTGTTGCTTTAAGCAGACAGAACATTACGTTGAGACCTGAAAGCGATGAAAGTCGCATTATACGGAAATCGTTGAGCAAGGAAGGAGTCCGATTTTGCAGGTTGTGTTCTTATTGCTTTTTTTCATTCCTGCACCTCTGACCGCCGCAATCTTGATTTTTAGTAAGCTGCCTTTTCATCGTAAACTCTTCCAATAATGCAGCCGAAATTTTCTTTTGTTATCCAGCACTTTTACAACATTTTGTGGATACACATACTTCTGTTACGCTTACGCTTTTGGGATCCTTCTTGATGTTATGAATTACTGTTTAGATTTCCTCGAAAGTGAAGATTGGATTTGCCGCCGATGTTGCACATGGTTTGGTTTATTTACATTCGAAAGGGTGTATGCATAGGTTCGTTGCCTCTTGCTTCCCTATACTGCCTCTTTGATCAGTTATTTTAGGGATATTGCTTGCCGAAATTGTCTCATTGATGTTGACAAGAATGTGGTGAAAATAACTGACTTTTGGACTTTCAAAACAAGCGGAGTCCTACAAAATACCCGATGATGAACCCATTCCTATCAGATGGTCTGCTGCGAATTCCAACTCCTTTTGTTATTAATTCCGTTTGAGAAATTTTTTTCAGGCAAGCCCCTGAAGTGATAGCGACAAGAATTTACACGGTCAAGTGTGACGTTTACTCTTATGGCATCACCATCTGGGAAGTCTTCAACAATGGGGAAATTCCGTTCACGGGAATAGACAACAAAACTATCAGGTCCAAGGTTTGTTTGAATTCTCAGCTGTTTCAGATGTTTCAAGATCTGGAGAGATTATCAGCGCCATACGCGATCGCAGATAGAGGACATATACAGGGTGTGGTACACCTTTCACATTGGGCGCAACTACCTTCTGGAATGGTGTTCAATGTGTCATATAGAAACTGGTGGGGTTGTCACATACATACCTTCAATCATGTAACATCGATGACGTAAGACACCTGGGTTCTTAAGTTTCCTTTTTAGTGATACTTTTTCTAATGGATATATAGAAAGCAAGGATCAGAGGGGTAGAAGGTGAGTGTGCCGCGGCGCGTTTATGACCCTCAGGCCGTTGGAGAGTACATCGCTTGCGAAACCGCGCATCGTCCCGCCCTCAAGGGGTTCGCTTGCCACTCTACTTGATAAATTTCTCCTTCTTCAATTTGCCACCTTATCGCGAAATACTCCCGAAGATCCTCCTGGTTATCGCCCACTTTCACCATGTTTCCCCTTTCCGTACCACTTATACCAAGTTATGCGCTTTCTTGGTAAAAACCGTCCACCTGAAGAAAGCACTACCCATCGCGGGATTTTCTTAATTTGCATGGTGTGCCCACATGTTTTTCGGTTCTGGATTGTTCCGGAATCCAAAACGAAATTCTTGCTGTCATCATCGCCCACTTGTGTTGTGCATGCTTGCCCACTGCGGGTGAGATTCCCATCGCCAATGTATACGGACATGTCGGGTTTTTTTAGCAGTAAGCTCGTAAAGCCTAATTAGTGATTTGGGATGAACTTATGAATTTTCCCCAGCGCGCTACAATGTATGCCCCTCTCCTCCAACATTTCTGTGGTTTCAATATGATATAGAATCCTCTCAATGTAAGATATGGAATCGACCACCATTGAACCAGTTGGACAATTTTCGGTGAAATTCGTATGGAGATAGGTAAAAAATAAGTGACTGTGGAAGGAATGAGACAGCTCGTTGTTCACCTCTTGTGCGAGCACAATAGAGAAACTGGGAGTGATTTTACTTTAAAGCGAACTTCACTAGGAGTGTTGGTTTTTTTCCACAGATATCCGACAACAAATTTCGTCCTCCCATCGATTTTTCTGTACCAATCGTTGTTCGGAGAGTGATAAAGACGTGCTGGAGAGGAGATCCCAAGAGAAGACCCACGATGTCGCAAGCGGCTCGTTACCTGGTTGGCGCTCCTCCGGAGCTGTAAGTAAATTAATGAAATTCTATCCACGGCACAGGTACAGCACATATCCGAGAGTTGGGTTTCAACGGAAATGATGTGGTGGCAGTCGCACTTGATAGAAGTCTTGAGGATAAGCTGTTCTAACATTTCCGCTGGATATCAGCAAAGCATGCTGGCAACAGCTTATCCACGCAACTTCTATCAAGTGCACGTCACTTTCAGGTGACACGCCTACGCAACTCCCGGATGTGGACTGTACATGTCATTTTGTTAACTTGGCAAGATTTACAAAGAAACTTTTCAATTCAACTTCCCAATTTTTATAATGTAAACAAAAATGAAACCCGTTCATTTACTGACCATAAGTTAGAAGTTTTCCTGGTTCCTTTTCTACACAAGACTTTTTCCATAATGTCTCGATGTCTCGATTACGCTCAGGATGTGCAACTGAAGTTGTCATTCCATTGAAGGCACACCATGCTGTCGATAGCTCTTGCACAGTTGAGCTGCAATGCTTTGGATCAGCCTATTGCTAGAAGACGAATTCAGCTTGGTAAAAGTGTCATACGCGTTGATACCCGACACTTTCTTGAACCTACCTGCATACCTTTGCCTTCACCGCTTCTCGAACACTGAGGTTGTGCGGCTGCGAAGTGATAGGGAATAAGATGGGTCTGCGCACATGTAAACAGGAGATTCCCTCAGTGCACTAATTTCATCTGGGCCAACGAAAGTAAATTTAGATTCTTGACGGCGACTGCGCAACGCATAGGTGGCGTCACGGCAATCGTTTTGATTCAAAGTATCGGCTGCATTCAGTGAAACAAGGCACAGACCTGGTTACGGTAGTCCCTGAAAGAAATGGGACTACAGCATAGGATTTGAGAAGTGACGAATGCGGACGTACATGTTCACATACTATCTAAAAGGTGTTATGTATTCACGCGTATGGCACCCTCACCGAACTAATCTCTTCTAGCACTGGATGGCCCTAGAGCATTGCACCTCAACTGTGCAAGAGTGCTCCTCACAACGTGGTGCGTTTTTACCGAACAGAAATTCGCTCACACATCCCGAGCGTCATTGCGGCACTATGCAAAAAGAAAAGGAAATCTTTATGCAGGCAAAAGAGACAGTATATGGAGGTGAAATCCGTCAAATATTAGGGGAAATGGAGGGAGGGGTCCCAATAGGCAGTGAATTCATTAAGTGATTCCATACTAAGGTTTCAGCGGTTCCAGAAATTTGTCAACAAATGTTATTTATCATGTTGTTGGTTGTTCTGTTGAATTATAAGTTTTTTGCCAAATTTTGAAATTTACCTGAAGCTCGGTCATATTCGGGAATTTCCAGTGAATTCGCAATTCTTCTCTCCTTCTCCCACTCAATGAAAAACGCTGATTTAGTAAAGCAGGCTCGACCTCAAAGCATATCATATTTAACAAATCTGACATGTAGGAAAAAGGTTAAGGCCGAAAAAGCATTTGCCCAAAGACTTTTAGCGCTACTGTAGGTTCCTCGAGACTATATTTCACTAGAGTGCACTTCCATTTGACAATGAGGAGGGCAATAGTGTATCCGCTGTGATCAAATGCCCTCTTTTTGTGATGGCTTTTGACTGACTCCACACTTGCACTTAGGCCCTGTTGATGTTTCAGCTACTCCAGAAGGTTGTTAACAAATCATTTAATATGCTCAATGTTTTTATCCGATCGAATGTTTTGTTAAATTAAAGGCAAAGGTCGGGCTCAGGCACGCTAGAGAAGTAATTCCCGTGCCTGGAGGTTGTATGTGGGTAGCTGCACACATTGCAGCAACTTCCCACCTTGAAAAACCCGTTAAGGCCCCGGGGCGTTCGGTTTCAATCCAGGGCCGCCTGGTCAATCCAGGACCGCCCACCTCCGGAAGTGGTGCGTGGCTGGCATAACGTGTGAAATCAGCTAGGTTGATTGCCGTATCAACCGATAGAACGACTGACATCTCCAGAAAACTTGTTTGTACGTGCCTCTTTCCCCAAGCCAGCCTCCTTCACTGCTAGTGGGAAAGAGGGTTTTGTTAACGGCCTTGTCGACGGTTTTTCGTTCCACTTCGCATCTCTATACTCAGTTTCAATCGCCATAATACCCCTTATTGAGCCCGACTTTGCCTTTAGGCTTTTTGCAATAGATTGAAATATAGATATTTGGACATGTTCGAGAATTCCAAGTGAAATGATTTCCTCATAATTAAGCCTTTCTTCCATCCAACACTAATGTGCTAAGTCGGTATAAACCTACTAGAATAAGAAATGATTTGGTTCGGCAGAAAGAAAGCTGCGGTCGAGAAAGGTCCCACCGAAAACTTTTGAGCGCCACTGTATCATATTCACTGTACATATTCATAGACTAGGTCACTTGCATTATATTGCATCACTTTTTATACTTGATTTCTCTGTATTATGAAGTGTTTCCCTTCAGACTGGAACCAGGACGTCCAGCAAAAACACCGGTAACTTCATACTTTTTCATTTTAATAAGATACTCTGGCTCGTTTCAACTATTAGGTTGTAAGGAAAGTTCTGGCCGTTTTCAATAGTTCATGTTTCATGGCATCATCTCTGGCTAAATTTTCGGCAGACTGCTACGAGTTGCATATCGCTAGAAAGCGCGTTTTCTGCTCTATCCAAATACGATGTAAGCTTTGCTCTAGATGGACTACTCCCACTTTTTTAAAGCCTTGAATGCAACATGCTCACCAAGCGAATCCTCACGATTTTCTTCTTCTACCTCGAATAAGGGCAGAAAGGAGCGGAATAAGCTCATGATATGAACTATTCGTTTGGCCATGCATTGCGAAAAATAAGCCATGAAGCGATAGTTTGGAAAGCTTATGTAGGGACGGCGATATCCTCGAAGTTGGCGAGGGTGACCGTTGGATGTGGAATTTCGGTAAAAATCAACTGAAACATTTGATAGAACCAAATGTGCTTAAAACAGTTTAGAAGACCGCTACTGAATTGTGTGTATTTGATTTATGGTTTCCGCAGAATCGACCCTGCAAAAAACGAACTAGCTGAGGTACTGAACTATGCCCTAAACACTCCACTCCCTAGTCCTCTTACCTATTCACCGCCACTTTTTCAAAGGTCTGGATAGCACCCTAAAGGAGAAATGCTACGAAATCTGACGTGATGATAAAACGACCTTCGCCTAGTTCATCGCCTCTAGAACTACAGTACTTCTAGTGAGCGGAATGATCAAACACAAGGAATGTTCGCAAGGACGAGTAGATCCAGCAGGTTTTTATTGCGATCGAAAACGTTGCGTTTGAGTCGAGATATGCGCATTTGAACTTCAGGGTCCGAAACGGCCAGAACTTTCCTTACAACCTAATAAAAGTGTTCTATGAAAATTATCACAATGGGGACTGATATTTCAAAGATTGTTTCAGTTGACAGCTCCCTCTACTCCTTGCGCAAGTAAAGCCAAATTGGTATGTTCATATTCCGCTACGTGGATTTGTGCTACTCTAGGTTTCGAATTGTAACATTTTTCATATCTACTAGATGCACACTTGTGATGGGTGTTATGTTACTGCTTATAGAGTAGTGTACATGCATTATGAGCTTAGCTATTTATGCGCGTTGGTATAATCGAAGGTAGTTCCGCTTCTGATATTACATCTCTCACGTATTTTATGATATCGTAAATTAAAGCGAAGGTCAGCGCCAGCACCGCGTTGCTCTTCCTTCCAAATATGACTCGCTTACGCATTTTGGAGAGCGTCTTCGATTGAGAATTACAAATGCAGTTGAGCGATATCATAGCTTAATGGCAGTAACCTACTTTCATTTCATAATAAGAAACCTTGAGTGGGTGTTGCTGTTTTTGGGTTAGTATTCCTGACGTTATACCAGTCAGATGTCTGTAGGTCAATAAACCAGAGTTCCTTTGTCTGACCGCTCCCCAAAAATTCGCAAGTGTCCCCCACATATTTATAATTCTTCCTTCAAAAATCACCTAGGGAGGGCGGGTCAAGTTTAATAACTTCGTAGAGTATGATTATACGAAGTTATACGGTGTACAAGTGTGAGGGTCGGAGAACTTCAAAAAGCTATCACACTTTCATGGATACTTTCAGAGCATTTCTCTGTTCCCTGCAAAATGAACCGGCAAATTTCTACAAGAATAACGCTAGCATCTTAATCTACTACCTCTACCCTAAGCCCCCCCCCAAATTCGAATATGCGACTCCTCTGAATAGTGCACACGCACTGTCGTACATACATCAGGACTTTTAGCCTACTTATTATTAATATCTCTGCAAATTCTCCCTACACATCCATCAACGTTAGCCGAAACAGAGAAGCAGACTCGAACGCAAACTGCTGCATTTTTACGAAACTCAGCTCAAGGTCATCCCACGAATAAGTCTGCTCTTCGCAGCCAACTATTGCATTGGCGCTCGGTAGGTCGTGCGCAAGTTCCGACTAGGCTTTAAAAACAAGTACAATAGATACTTCTAAGCGATGACAGGCTTTAGAACAGCATAAAGGAATAGAGTGGTGAAGTATGATCAGAAGGTCGGACTCAATGCCCACAGAGTTTGAGGTCAGAATATGAATAGACAGACTCGGCCTAGATGACAGGAAGAGGTCGAAAGATATTAGTCGCGCCACTATATTGCCTTTGTATGGACCTGATTTTATTTTGTTTTGCCTGATTAGTGTTTTTTGTTCATCAGGAAACACTCAGGAGTAGTAAGATTAAGAGTGTGAGTATTTTTTTTTGTAGAAACTGCTTTTTCCAGAAGTCAATGGTCTTTTTTTTGCGGTAGTTCTCCCGAAATGTACGGTCTGAATCATGTATTCGATGTATCAAAATCACACAAGAGTATGGCTGGCATAGAGGTAGAATCGCTAACTTTGAATGCAAATCGTCGAGAAGGTCGGAATCACGAATTCGGCATGAGCAAGTTGTTAGGCTAAGCAGTGATACATACGGGCGGGGGGGGTTAAAAAAGAGTCACTTATGCAGGAATAGCGC